AGCTGCTTCTTTGGTATTTGTGGATGCCTCCCTGAACTGGTTAAAACCTGGATATGGTCTCAGCAGCTCTCATTGCTTCTTGGATTGTAGGACAAGCAACGATGTCTTCTTCTTCTTCAGCTTCATCGACATCCATTTCCACGTTTTGCACCAGTTCAACAATTTCTTTATCACTTAGGACTTGAAATGTTTCCACGTCATCGTCTACTGAAATGTAGAGTGAAGATCAGTTCCGAACGCTCCCTGATTCACATTAAATTTTTGTATCCACTCTGACAAAGGCATTTCGTCATCTTTATCAACGTCCTCAACATGGAGAGAAGCTACAGTCAATTTTGCTTGACGAAAAACACATGAATTGTCACTGACATAACCGCACTCCACGCATTGTCTAAAAACTGAACAGCATCCAGGATGGTAATGTTCACAGATTCTCCATTATCCATACAAAAAATCATTTTTTTTAACAGCTGTTTTCGATAATGGCACTTTAAACTTCTTATGACTCCCTGGTCCATAGGCTGCAAGACACTCGTACAGTTGGCTGGTAAGAACACTAGATTTATATTGGTCAAATTAAGTTTGGGATGGGCTACACAGTTTGTCAACTAGGAGAAGAATTTTTCTTTTTTTGAAAGAGAGTTCCTTGTCCCACTTTCTCAATTCTTCTTCAAAAATAGCAGAAGTCATCCATGCTTTTTTATTGGCTGTGTAGTTTACAGGTAGTGTTTTTAATGTTTTTGAAACATCTAGGATGTAAACTTTTCCCAATAACCAAAAGCTTTTTTTTCTCTGTACCTGTCATATTTGCACAAACAAAAGCCGTCACTCTTTGCTTGGAAAGTTTCCACCGACACATTTTTGATTTTTGAAATTTAAAGTTTTGTCTGGCGTTAATTTATAAAAGACACCTGTCTCGTCACCATTAAAGATATCTTCATCTTTGTATGGTTGCCTTTGTTGTGGCCATGTGTTTTGTAACCAGTCACTTGTTACGTTCTCATCCACACATTTTTGCCTCTCCAACAATTTTCGAGAAGGAAATTGAGTGCCTGGCTTTAAACCGATCTAACCTAGCCGTTAGAGCATGTGAAATCTTCACCAAACAATTTTCCGAACTCTGTAGCATTCTCCTTTAAAAGTGGCCCGGACACAGAGATATCAGAACTGCGACACTGCTTGAACCATTTGAGTAGAGCTGAATCTACATCATCACGAATGCACTTCCTAATCTTTTTAACATTGTTTCCGTCCTCTTTTAAAGGCTGTTAAATTTTGTCCTTGTTTTTTATGATTGAGCCGGACAGTCGAATTAACAAGTCCAAATTGCCGGCATACATCAGCAATTTTTCGACCACTTTCAAATGCTCTTATAACACGCACTTTTTCTTTAATAGGCAAAACCTTCCTTTTAGTGCTACAACTTGCCATATTAAAAATAAAAGCTATTACCAAATTAAAATAAAAAAAAAACAAAACGATCCGAACACAATTTCACGTTAGCGAAAATTTCTTAAACCAACTATTCCGAAACAGAAAATTTGACTGTTAGGAGTGTTAGGACGGCACTGATAAATGCGAAATTATAGATTGTCAGGGTAACATAACTGTACACAGAAGGGATAATGGACCTTTCTTACATTCTTGGAAGGAACAAATGCCGCAAAGCCAGAATCGCATTACACTTTATTCTTCATAAAATAAAAAAAGGATAACCTACTATAAAATATTTATGACGCTATAAACCGAGGGTTTAGTTTATTTTTAGCCGATAAAACCGGGTTTTTTAATAACGTTATGGAATAGTTTTTTGACCGGACCTATTAAAAATTGACGTTATAACCAAGATGACGTAACTACCGAGGCCGTAATAAGCGAGTTCCACTGTATATCTACCAAAATGCCACAGCTAACGTAAGACTATCTGAACACGAGACAAATAAATTCTGCATACAGCGAGGAGTACTGCAAGGAGACACCGTCTCTCCAAAGCTATTCACGATACTTTTAGAACATACTTATGTAAGAAGGCACATCTGAACAAGCATGGTATCAACATAAATGGCGAGAAGCTCATTCATAATAATGACTACTGGTACTAAATCGAAATAGTGCTGTTAATGGAAGGGATATTGTGCAGACTACATGGTATAAGTACCTAGGACATGAAATTCGGTTGGACAGAGATATGCTCACTTATGGAGCGGAAAAGACTCCCAAAAAAGGTAGTTAATTAAGATGAGAAAAGGCAGCAAATATTTGATTTCCACGCAAACAAATCTTATGTATCTCTTGATACGTATTTCGACCTAATAGGTCTCGTCAGAAGAGCTATTCATAAGGTTTCTCAACGTGAAAAATCAAATATTTCTGCCTTTTAAGAAGCAACAATAACATGGCTTCGATACGGACGCAGTAGCGACATCTAATTAAAACAATCGTAAAATAGTTTTCGAAACACAATTCATTTTCGAAACTTATAAAGCAGAAATCTGAATTGTGTTTCGAAAACTATTTTCGATTGTTTAATTAGATGTCGCTACTGCGTCCGTATCGAAGCCATATTATTGTTGCTTCTTAAAAGGCAGAAAATATTGATTTTTCACGTTGAGAAACCTTATGAATAACTCTTCTGACGAGACCTATTAGGTCGAAATACGTATCAAGAGATACATAAGATTTGTTTGCGTGAAATCAAATATTTGCTGCCTTTTCTCATTTTGTTCGGATTTACTCTGTGGGAGTACAAGAAACACAATTCGCTAAGGATTTCTGCTTAGTTGTAAAAGACATGTCGTGGAATGCAAATTTTAGATTCCCCATGTCTCTTTTAACATCTTTTATCAACGTCTGTTTGCCTTGCAATTCTTAGAAGGCTCAGATATAAAGCAGAAATCTGAATTGTGTTTTCGAAAACTATTTTAACGATTGTTTAATTAGATGTCGCTACTGCGTCCGATCGAAGCCATGTTATTGTTGCTTCTTAAAAGGCAGAAAATATTGATTTTTCACGTTGAGAAACCTTATGAATAGCTCTTCTGACGAGACCTATTAGGTCGAAATACGTATCAAGAGATACATAAGATTTGTTTGCGTGAAATCAAATATTTGTTGCCTTTTCTCATTTTGTTCGGATTTACTCTGTGGGAGTACAAGAAACACAATTCGCTAAGGATTTCTGCTTAGTTGTAAAAGACATGTCGTGGAATGCAAATTTTAGATTCCCCATGTCTCTTTTAACATCTTTTATCAACGTCTGTTTGCCTTGCAATTCTTAGAAGGCTCAGATTATAAAGCAGAAATCTGAATTGTGTTTCGAAAACTATTTTACGATTGTTTAATTAGATGTCGCTACTGCGTCCGTATCGAAGCCATGTTATTGTTGCTTCTTAAAAGGCAGAAAATATTGATTTTTCTCGTTGAGAAACCCTATGAATAGCTCTTCTGACGAGACCTATTAGGTCGAAATACGTATCAAGAGATACATAGATTTGTTTGCGTGAAATCAAATATTTGTTGCCTTTTCTCATTTTGTTCGGATTTACTCTGTGGAGTACAAGAAACACAATTCGCTAAGGATTTCTGCTTATTGTAAAAGACATGTCGTGGAATGCAAATTTTAGATTCCCCATATCTCTTTTAACATCTTTTATCAACGTCTGTTTGCCTTGCAATTCTTAAAGGCTCAGATTATAAAGCAGAAATCTGAATTGTGTTTCGAAAACTATTTTACGTAGTTAATAAGATTCGCGTGACTCAGATGGTTATGGAGCGCCAGATGTTGGGTGTCTCTCTGAGAGACCGAATTCTAAACGAAGAAATACGTCGTAGAACAAAAACAACACGCCATCGAAAAAATCGGTAAAATGGAATTGGGCAGGACACGTCGCCAGATTATCAGACATCTAAGAGCAAGAATTTAAAACGCAAAAAAAGAAAAGGACAAAGAAAAACACTCACTATAATTTAAAACTCTTCAAAGAGCCCCGTGTACTAGAAAGGTATCAAAATTACCTTGAAAATGAAAATTCAATAGCTGAGAATTTAACAGCTAGCGAGCAATGGGATATATGTAGAAGAACAATTAAGACTATTAAAAAGAGTGAACTAAGCATGCCTAAGTTACTTCGGTCACACATCCAGAAGAACGGAAACTAAAGGTAGTAAAACGAAAGGTCGAACGCCGAAGACCAAGAGAAAGATTTCCAACAAGATAGAAACTGGAAAATTTTAAATTTTGGTGGCTTCGCCAAATTGAGAGATCTGCGTCTATCTCCTTAAGGATTGTTGGTAGGTTTTACCTTGACAAAATTTATATTTTGATTAACTCAACTGTGTATATGTTATTAGTAGGTAACATGTTTTTTGTTCAGTTATTAAGAATCTGTGTGTTTCTAATCTGAATCTAACAAGTCAATTAACACCTACTCTTGCTGATTTATGACAAATAAGTTTAAAAATAATCACTATAATGTAATCACATTATCCTGTTTAATTGAATGGATAATATTTACAGCAAAATCTAGATTTCCTAAATCTTTTAGTAAGTATACTTAGAAGGTTTAAAAAAGTAACCCATTGCAAAATATTATTCCTACGTAAGATATTGTAGAGCATAGACACAGAATAATAAACAAGCATAGAGCTCTATGGATGACATTATTTATTTTTAAATATGTATCTACAAAAAATTATAGAAAAACATAAAAATACATAACAGAAGAAGTTTTACAGAAAGCTATGGTAATTAATTTCAAATCTAACCATTCTCTAAACTTTGATGCTTTTTAACTTAACAATCATTTACGAGTAGTAAAATTCATACTGTACTACTATTTTGAGTCACTGTTATTTCACTTACATTATATTTGCACACAAATATATTTTTTTGTATCCCACACTTCTTTATAATATAAAAATACACAACGTCACTGTACTAAATTTTGAATAAAATCAGGTAAATCCGTCTAGCATGCCTTGATTTTGACATTAGTTATATTGTGTAAGCTTAAAATGGAGTTACGAAAACTTGATTCCGACATAATTACGAAAATAAGGAGCTCTTCTTCGATAAATACGGTTTGCCAAAGTGTACTAGAGTTGGTAAGTACGTACTAAAAATATTAATAAAAGTATCTATACAATAATTTTTATATAAAGGATATTTTATGAATTTGTGTTTTTCTCTACTTATGTCGAATACATAATATAATAATTCTCATTATGATAACTTTAATTTTGAAAAATTTTATAAGTAGTTTATTATTAATGGTAGTTAATTGCTAAGCAAATTATTACAGACAATCTTTAATCAACAAACTAGTTTATTTCAAAATTTGTAATTCTTAAATTTATTTTATAAAAGTACTTTGTCCATGTGGTTTTTCAACACAATGGTTATTAATGTAATTAGTTTAATTTATAAAATTAATTTTATATATTTGTATATGCGTCTATCTTCTTTCGTGATAGAAGCTTTGGTGCTGTTTTTCTAGTTTTGTTTTTAAAAATTTGAGCAGCACAGTTTAGATGCCGCCACTACGGTTAGTGTATTACTAATTGCATAACTATTAGGAGCTGGAATTTTTAGAATATTGGAACACTTTACAAGTAGAAAAAGTTTCAAAAAGTAATATTTTTGATAGGTTACTTTTAAAATATTATATTATAATTGTATTTTACAAATATTGATGTCATAAATTTATTATTTTAGTCGTAACATATTCTTCTTCTTCCTCTTTATAAGCAATTCTGCTTATTTATTGGCGGATTAATACCTCTATGGAAGGTTGTTACATAGTACATACCCCCTTGGTTGTATTTGGGTTGTACTCCATCTTTTGCGCGGAGTGTCCGATACTTCTTCTGTCGATTGGTGACTTATCTCTTGCTATTTTGACGACACGGGTCTCCTCCATTCTGCTTATGTAGTTATTCCATTTTTTTTATTTTGTGTGCATTCATTTATACACTGTACGTTAAATTTTCTTCTAATATCTTCACTTCTCTTTCGATCTCTCAGCGTATTTCCTGTAATTCTTCTCAGTACTCTCATCTCTGCCGTTTTCAGTAGCCTTTAGATATGTTGTGGCTGTGTCGGGTTTTGTTTCTGATGCATATGTCATTATTGGTCTTACACTGGCTTTATAAATTCCTGACTTCATCTCAGTGTTAATATGTCGGTTTCGCCATTATAGTGTTATTAAAGGTAGGTATCCTGCCAGTCTGTTTGCTTTTGTACTTGATCTCTCACTCGTTCCAGGCTCCATAGCTTTGTTCAATAATGATGCCATCAATTTCTAATTTATATCTGGTTGGTTCTTTGCTGACTACTATTGTTTTAGTTTTCTGAAATGAGATTATCATATTAAATTCTTTTGCTCTTATGTTAAATCTGTGGACCAGTCTTCGCAGACTATTATAATGATTTTATTAGTCCTAATTTATTGTCTTTATTCTAATTTATTAAAACTCACGATAATTTATCAAAAGTCTTATTTTATACTAATTTATTTTATACTTAATAATTACAAATAATTTATTTGCGTTCGATACAATTTAAACCACGTTCCGCGAGTTTCTTTTCTTCACTGGCCGCTCAATGTAAAATCTTCCGTTATTTATTTGAAACCAGCTGGTAAACAGAATGTTGTAGAAAATACGATGCCGTTCTCGACGTAAACACAGCGGGCAATGATCTAAAAATCGGTATCGGTGCGATTCCAGAAAGCTCTTATTTGTCGTTTTATAGCGAAGGGGACCCAACGGGTGTCAGGTAGATTTTGACCTAGAAATTACGAGAATCAATATAAAAAGAATTAGTCATAAAATATTTACAGTTCTATACGCCATAACATTTAAAATCGTAACACTATCTTCATCTTGGGCTATCAATATTGCGTCGTCAGCGTAACAGAATATTTTTATTTCTTTGAGAGTTGCTCTGTGTCGTTTGAACTGATAAGAACCACGTCACGTGTTCCAGTCGAGCAAGGAACCATGTTGCTCTTTAAGTATTAACATGTACAACCAATGTCATCAACCTAGGGTCGCATTATATTTTAAATTTATAATATGTAAACCACATATTAATATCCTCACTTCAATTTTTGTGTTTGCTACAAGTACTAACAGAATGCACTGAGGGTGATCTGATTAAAATTGAAAACGTTATGCATTTTTAATTTTTGGATGACACTTTTAATAAGATTTAATTAAAAAATTTATATTTATACCAATATACAAATTTGAAGATTTTACTTCTGTATTAGTTTTTCTATTTCTCTGTTTCCAATTCTGTATCCTCTTCCTTTGTTAACGCTTTTGATGATTTCATCCATGACCAAATTGAAGAGCATGGGGCTCAATGAATCCCCTCGTCTTATTCCGCTGCCTATTTCTATACGTTCTGTAAGTTGTCCATCTATTCTGACTTCCTTTTGCTGTTTTGGTAGATGTTTTCAATAGTTTTTATAATATTTAGGAGAACTTCTATATACAGAAGATAGATTACATCTTTGAGTCTTACTCTGTCACGTGGTTTCTTTGGGTCTATCAGACACAGAAATACTGGTTAATTACACTATAGTGATTTCTCGATCAATTTGCTTTATAACGAATATTGCATCTGTACACGATTATCCACTACGAAAACCCTGTTGTTCATCTGCTAAACTTGTCCTCTGATTTATTATCAGTTGTAAAATTTTAGTGTAGTATTTAACAAGTTTGTACCTTTAGTATAAGTTGATAGTTGATATAAACACATTTTTACAGTTTGTTTATATTTCACAGATGCGTATTTTTCTTTGGTCGAAGCGCTTTTAGGATATTCTGCGTTTCAAATAAATGTTCCCGTTATATGTTTTGTTAATATTAAGTTGGAAAGGCACCATCCGGTACCATCTTCTTACATCATCTTTACAGTTCACCCAATAGAACCGTTCTCGAACCTTTTGCAGAATCTTCGTAATACCAAAGTGTCCTCCTGATGCACCGTCATGCAACTGACACAATACTTCTGACACTTTACTTTTAGGTACAATCAACTGAAGCTTAGTTTCTTTGTACCATCATCGTTTTCAAAGGTTCTATAAAGAAGATAATCTTTTAGCACTAGGCAATTCCATTGGCTTCAGTAACACTTCATGCACTAATGTCTTACCAAGAAGGCCTTTCACTTCGACGCATCCAATGCAATATTATTTTTTCGAGTGATCTTGTAGCTGTTGAGGCTGCCATTGATCATTAATAACGGTGGTTCGTCTCACGGGGCAAAGTCGTTCTTCTAATTTAAGACACTGATTACAATTTGCACTGCACGGCCGTCTTGACTGAGTATCAGCATATGAATGACTTTTTCCAGCCCAGTGTTCGATCTGTTCTAGCTTTCTCACTGTTGTATTATTTTCTTGCAATTGCGGCGAATGTGACCTACGTTGTTACCATTCCAACATCTGGATTCATGTCTCTTCGGCATCATGTCACGAACTACTTTCCGAATGATTTCCTCTAGACGTTTATCGTTTTGTACGTCGCTCTCTTCAGAGGTTCGTACTCGGTAGCTTCGTGAAGCTCGACTAGCTGTCTGGTGTTCCAAGGCAATGGCGAGCGCTTCATATAAAACTTTCGGTCTTGCTAGTCGTAAAGCTTTCTGTAGTTCACTGTCTCTCAACTAATTGATGAAGGAATCTACAGCAATTTCTTCCAATATGTTGCCTGGTGCCTCTGGATAGGCCAATAGCGCTATACGAGCAACATCTGCTTCAAATTCCTGCAAAATCTCACTTGCTCATTGGATTCTACTTCTTATTTGTACTTTGCAGACTTGTTGTAGATGGGTATCTCCGTAACGTTTGTCTAGTCGAGTGAACAAGGTCTGGTAACATTTTTCTTGACCCTTAGGAATCGATCTTAGGATATTCGCAGCATCACCTCTGTAAAGCAGCAATCAACGAAACATTTTTTCTTATTCTGTCCAATGATTGGCTGTCGCAATAGCTTCAAATTGTTTAAGGTATATGGACCAAGAGGACTTTCCATCAAATGGTGGCAATTTGAATCTCATGTGATGTGTCGTTTCGTTTCCCGGTGATTCTTCTTTGACTACCGGATCTAAGGCTACTGTATTACCTGGTGGTAGCACTTTTGTATTGGTTATCATGCACTCTAACTGTTTGATCTTCTCTTCTACTTTATCAAATGTTTTAGAAACTTCTTCAAATTTCTCATTGTTCTTTCTAGAAGTTTGTTCCATCATTCGAGAAACATTTTCAAATTTCTCATTTATTTTTGTTAAAACTGTTTCTCTATTGATTGAAACGCTTCATGATTTTATGATTATCCTTTATAGTATTCTGCGCTGAGGAGTAGATCATGTTTGCCAGTTTTTGGCTGTCACTATGATAGGTGATTCGCACAGGTGTGAGCTAGGTGACTAGAGCGATGTATGTAGCATTTAGATTCTTTCCATATAGGTCAGTTCCGCACTCACCGGTCCTCTTAATACTTATGTCTTAACTTGTAGGTTTTCTTGTTTTGAATGACATAATCTAAATTAGACTTGTGAGTGTCTCGTTGGTTGAACCTAGATCTACTTATGGAGTTTTAATTAGGTAGTATCCGCACGTTTGGATTTTCAGAGAGTGTTGTTTCAGAATTGATAAGTGTTCCCATTTTAATTTGTTTTTAGCATCACCATAATTCTTACGACTTTGTCCATTGTTTTGTTTCTGTCCAAGCGTTAAAATCTCCCAACGAATACAATTTCTTTGCGGCTATTTATATTAGTTCAGAATGAGTCCGATAAAGTTTCTAGATATTTGTTTACGTTTTTGATGCATTTTTCTGACGAATATATATTCCAATGATCCGAGTTGTGCCCTTTCCACGTAATAATACTCTAATATTTCCTCTTCATATGAGTTGCTCCCAGCTGTTTCATGTTTCTTTTTAAGTTTTTTTTTTTTTATTAAGATTGATACCACCGGCTTGTCTGCTCTTTGGCTTTCTGCTACTCCACTATAAATATATGTATAAAACCGTCTATATAGCGTCGCTATCCCTTTGCCCCGTGTCTTTCTGTGTTTTGCGGTAAGATTCGTGGATATCTGATTCTGTATAGTGTCCTTTACTTCTGCATGACTTCGTCTGGCTTGGTTCTCCACCCCTTGGATATTCCATGTATTTATATTCAAAGTCCTTGTTCGGTTGCTACGTCGTCTTCGTTTTTTCCGTCCATATTCCGAGGCTGGATTTTAGAATTCTTTGCAGTAAGTTTTTCATGAGTGAAGAGGAACAGCCCTACGTCCCAACCCCCTACGAACGACCAGGATTTTCTGTTAGGGTTTATTCCCTTAGTCGAGAGAAGAGTATAGAGTGTAGTAGACAGAATCATAGTGACCTGTCCGCCCTCGGATTACCCTAATAGCAACTCGGAGTCGGAAAAACAAGAATTAGCCAAGAGAGGCCGATAGGAAAGATTAAAGACATTTCACTAAGACACGTTGAAAAAGAGCAAAATGTGAAGGCCCCTATGATCCGCTAGGTGCGTTTCATAAGCGTATGAGTATTGGTACACTTTGTGTTCCTGCTCATACCTTGGGGTGTCGACTACAAACTGTATGGCTCGTCCAGCATGCCATAGCATGGAGGATAGGGTGCATGTCATTTTTTATAATGAAGACCCCTAAACTTCACGGCCTGACAAATACCTAAATTACTTCAATATTAATTAAAAAGTAATTCGGACCTAGTTGAATCATAATATTGTTCTGAAGCTATTTACTTGTAGCATCTTGCTATTATGTCTATGATCTTATTACAATTTACTAAGAAAATTATCTCAGCCAGTATCTGTGAAATCAGGAGTTCCTCAGAGGTCTCATATCGGGCCTCTTTCATTTAATATATTTGTTAATGATATACCATCAGTCATTAAAAGTGTCAACTTTCTAATGTTTGCTGACGACCTTAAAATATTTTCGAATAGTTAATAACCTAGTTGGTGCCTCTTTATTACAAAATGATCTTAAAACCTTAGCTAGTTGGTGTGAGGCAAACATACCATACTTAAATATAAAAAAAGTTTTAAAATTACTTTTGGTAGATCAAGGGAGTTGGTAAATTATTGTTATTGTATAAATAATGTTTAATCTTTAAAGATTTTGGGATTTGTTCTTAGAAATTGTAATTAGTTTTCAGTACAAACTTTAAATATGTTATACTTTAGTTTAGTTCGATCAGTTTTGGAGTATCATTCTCTCATTTGGTCTCCTTCATATAATAGTGATATCTACAGTAAGGTAAGATGGGGCAAGTGCATTATCGGGGCAAGTGCAGAACATTATCATTAAAACCTATCACTTTTGAAATATGGGCTGCCATCTATTATTTGGTATCTTTAATACCCGTGACAACAGTCTTTAACAACAGCGAGCTGCTTTATTACGTTTCACTGATGTTATAGGTACGGCAGGGCAGTGTCACTTGTGTTTTGCAACTTCTCGAGCAAGGTCACTGATAAAAATTAATCCATTTATATCTACCGAATCTGTGAACATCTTTATATTATTTTTGGTAGGTAAGTATCTTAGGCACAATAGTTTATGATAAACATAACATATTTTTTAAATATTTACTTTTTGACAGTTTTTATTGTTTGTACCGCTTTTGCCCCACGTATTTTAAAAGTCGGGCTAGTGCGGATAAAATTGTGGGGTAAGAGCGGCACATAATTACGCACTTGCCCCAAATCTCACACAGTTTTTCTTTATGCTTTTAGTTCCAACATGGTGAGAAATTACATTCACAGAAGTAGCAGGGGCATAGGATATACGAAAGAGAGTTTAAAAGTTGCACTTCGGCAATTAAATCTGAGCAAATGACTTTATACCGAGCTACTAAAGTGTACACAATTCCAAGAAGTACTCTCCATAATCACCTTAAAGGTAGGAGAGGACAAAAAAGTTCTAGCTATGGAAGAACTCAGGACATTCCTCAACGGGAAGAAGAAAAACTAGCAAATGGCCTTCGTTACTATGGAAAAATGGGGTTCTGGCCTTTCTAGAAAAGAAGTGTTGCAGGTTGTAGCTGACTTCGTCAAAGAGAATAACATTAAGACACAGTTTAAAGATGGTAAACCAGGAGAAGATTGGTTTCTTAATTTCAAGCGTAGACATAACCTCTCGATTAAAAAACCCCAGAGTGTGGAATTTGCTAGAAAAAAAAACCTTGACCCATTCCTGATCTACAACTATTTTGATTTACTTGAAAACATTATAGAAGAACTTGGTTTACAAGAACGCCCGTCGCAAATTTGGAACTTGGATGAAAGCAGTTTTTGCACAGATCCGTCCAAAAACAAAAATTGTCGGACAAAGGGGAGCTCCATCCACAAGAATTATTAGTGGGCCTGGTAAACAAAATACAACTGTTCTTATGTGCTGCAGCGCAAGTGGCAAAAAAGCACCTCTGCTTATTGTCTTCAAAGGTAAACATATTTGGGACCAGTGGACTGCTCCGCGTGGCACGGAATTTTTAGATACTACCTACGCTGCCACTCCTAAAGGGTGGATGGAGACAACTGTATTTAGAAACTATTTTGAAAACAGTTTTTTAAAGTTTATTGGTTCAGAGCGATCCGGTATTAGTACCTAATTTACGACGGACACGCGAGTCATCTTGGAGCAGATGTCATAAATATAGCTGTTGAAAACCATATTACGATACTTAAGCTCCCTCCTCACACCAGTCATGTACTCCAGCCCTTAGATTTGTGTGTATTTAAATCACTGAAGACCCGTTGGGATGCTAAACTTGTTGAATGGCAGAGAAGAAATGTGGGGGCCGCTGTAACAAAAAGTATGTTTTCCAAGATGATTAGGAGAAAATATGGCAAGAAACCATGCCCGAAATATTAGTGAGCGGTTTCATTAAAGCAGGAATAGTTCCGCTGAATAGGAATATTATTCAGCAAGATTTATTTGACCCAGTGGCTCTCCAACGATGGCAAAAAACCCGTAACGTGGCTAGGTTTGATGGTCCTGACTTAACTTTGCCTAGTACATCAGCAAAAAATAATCAAAATCCAATCACAGTCGAAGCACAGTCAACTTTCAGCTCGACAGATATACAAACATTTCAAGAAACTGAGAAGATTCTGGATGTTTCATTCGAAGAGTTGTTATTGAGGTCAACCAAACGTGAAAACAATTCTAATTCGAAGAAAAAAAACGCGTGTGCTTGGGTGCAGAGGTGATAACAAGAGCCGATGTTGAAAAAATTTTACGTTCAAATACAACAAAAAAATATAAACCAGAAAAAAAAAATTAAAAAGATTTACAAAAAAAAAATTGCTGAAAGCAGTTCCGAAAATGATAATAGTTCTTGGTACAGTGACTCAAGCGAAAACAGAATTGTTGAATTTGACGAGCTAAGCAAAAGTGATTTGGAAGAGTTTGATGAAAAAAACCCTACTGACAAACTTACATTTACCAAAATACAAATTGGGGATTTTGTATTAGTAAATTTTCCTGGAAAAAAGAAAATGTTCAAATATGTTTTGTTTGGTGAAACAACTGATCAATGGTGATGAAGCCGAAGTAACAGGCTTGAAAAGGCTCACAAATAAGTGCCATTTATTTTAAAACCCAACGATGTCTGCACTATTCTACTGTCGGACATAGAAACAAAACTACCTGTTCCAAAAATATCAATAACTGCTGATTACGAAAAGTATATTTTTGAGACTGCACCTGAAGTGTTTGAAGCATAGCATAAGTATTTTTTCCAATTATTAATATTTTTTGTTACTGTTAACAGGATTTATTCATTCTAGTACGTTTTACTTTATGTTTTTATTTTAAATAAATATTTTTCAGTCAAAATATCTGAAATTGTTTTGACTCTCTCCTAAAAAATATTTCGTAGCATTTTTTTCTTAATATTTTATTAAAGTTAAGCATAAAGAATACAAATTACATATATGTAGGATTTCTGCACTTGCCCGTATGGAACACTTATTATTATTAGCAAAAATAATGGCACATTCTGCTCTTACCCCGGATCAGTGGGGCAAGTGCGTAACATGTACTTGCGAAAAAAAATGTATCGGCAAATTTGGTAGGTAATGTATTTTTGTTATCTAAATAGTTTTAATTGGTCGTTTTTGAATCTTAATTTGAAAGACGCAATTTTTGTAGTTAAATGAATATTAACTATGAATTTTTTCGTTCGCACTTGCCCCATCTTACCTTATCGAGAAGTGTTCCTACCACTCCCCTACTGACCACATTATCAAAACAATTTTTAAGCAAACAGAATTTAATACACATGTATATTTATATTGTAGGTATTAAATAGTTTAGATGCAAAAGCAAAATCAATAGCCGTAAGACTTAATTTGATTACCCTACGAATTCAGGTTGTAGATAATGGAGAAGGTATCTCGAAAGCAAATATGGATCTTATTGGACGTAGATATTTCACGAATAAATGCAATAACTTACAAGATTTGGAAATAAATATAAAACATTACGGATTTCGCGGAGAAGCTTTAGCTAATATTTTGGAACTTTCAAGAGCTGTTACTGTTATTTCTAAATGCGAGCCATCTTCTCTTACATATATGAAGACTTTGGTTAAAGATTCTGACAATGTAATAACGATCAAGCAACGACCAAGTGTAGGCACTACGGTAACGGTGGAAGAATTCTTTTATAACTGTCCTGTAAGAAAAAAACGAATTGTTAATGAATTAGAGTTGGAAGATATCGTAAAAAACATTACCTCCCTTATTATTATACATCCAGAAGTGAATTTTTCCATTAGGAATGATATAACTGGAGAGTTAATATTAAGCAGTACTAAAAGAACTGATATAGCCTCCTCGTTCAAATATGTACACCCTGATGTTAAAGAAGATGCTACTATTTTCAAGGTAAATAAAGGTAAAATAGCTATGTTTTCTTTGTTGTTTAGAGGTTATTACGAAAATAGACGAATACAATATGTCTACGTAAATAAAAGACCTATTTTTTCATTAAAAATTCGTAAATGCATTGAGAAATTATTCTATATCAATGAAAAAAGAAATAATTCAAAGCTTTACCCAATATTCTTGCTGAACATAAAATGCCCATATACTGAAGTAGATATACTATTAAACTCTACGAAGACAATGGTTGAATTTAAAAACTGGGACTTGGTTGAAAAATGCGTTAAAAAATTAATTATTTCATTTCTGGGCAATAGTCAATGTTTAAAACCACTGAAAACTATACCTGAAGTGCAAAATAAAGAATATTTAAATTGCGGAATATCGCAAATACGTGGAGCAGTAAAAGCCGTTGGCTACAAAAGAAAAAAATCCGATACACATATAGATTTTATAGAGAAACTGAAACAATCTGATACTCCTTTTGAAATTACCGGCTTGGACACAAACGAAAACTCATCAGAAGACATATATGACATAATCGAAGCCACTCCCACTCTTAACAAGAAAAAATCGGCCAGTTTTAAACAACCTTTACCAATTAATGTAATTCCAAAACGAAATTTATTAATACCGAAAGAGTTACCTGTTGAACAAGACATAGAATGTGATCAATCTCTTTCCAAATTTACGAACGATGAAAGCAAAGGTAAATGTTTGATAATGGATATGTTTCTAAAATCAACACAAGTATACAAAAGCGATGAAAACGTTCTGGAATCGAGCCAAGATAGCCAGGAAACCATATTTGAAGAAGAGTCAAATTTTATTGTCGAAAATAACATTAAAACCACATGTGATGGTGTAAGTAAAGCCATGTCTATGTCTCTGAATGTTAAGAGCACCAAAAAGATCAGAAAGCATAAAAAAGCCATAAGTACTAAAGGAATTCAGACTACCTTCAGAGAAGAAATGAATTCTAAAGCTTTACAGACTACCTTTAGGTTCCAAAAGGAGATTGACGAGGAAAAGGGGATACAATTCCAGATAATTATACTTTAGTTTTGTCACGGGAAGGAAAATCTCCACATTTTGAATTTGTGAATCGGAAGCCAGACCAGTCTAAAATGTTTCAGTTTCATTTTGATAAAAAGTGCAACTGTGATTGCCATGAAAATAATAAAGCTATGCTTAATTTGGAACAATCTTCGGATCCGAAATTTCGAATTTCAAAAGAAACAACGCAACTTTTTGGGAACCTTTTTTGTTTGAAACGCGAGGACTTAAATAACTTTCAAAACAAATTTAAGAATGTAGTAGATGAGATATGATTAATAAGGATAAATCTATTAAGGAATTATCGATTTCTAATTGGAAAATTAATAAAAAAGCATTAACAAATCATATGCCCGAAATGTATGATGAAAGCCCATATTTCTCCAAACGTCAATCAGAAAATTATATTCTAAATAACAAAAAATTGCCAAATGTATGTAATAATTTTATTAAGCCTACTAATTTGGATAGATTTTATAATAATTGTCCACCAAAGTACAATATACTAAATAATATACACCCGCAATCCGAATATTATCCCGTAAAACCAATGCTTTTACAAGATAATCATTTCTACAAATGGAATAACGAAAATATTGGCTCAAGTGATTGGTTGAAAAAACCTGAGCGAAATAATTATAATGTCGAACATAATCAGCAGCAACTAAGACAATATCAACGAAATTTTTCTTCGCCTAACGAAAACGATGATAAACCTGATAATTTCACCATTCATTCGTTTTTTAAATTTAAACCAAATTTTGTAAGCACGCAGAAAAATTACGAACCAATAAAATTTGAATTCCAAAATAAAATTATTAAGCAAAACGAAACTAGGCCGAATGGACCCAATGTTGATATTTCGATACAACCGCAGTATTTGCGTTCAGGAAATTGTGAGGGCAATCCTGACGAAATTTTATCTGTACAAACGTTTAATTCACATCAAATAAAGGAATGGACTGATCATCACGTAACGGTTAAACAAAAATCTGAAGGATTGGTTGATAATTTAAATAACAACCAGTCTCAATTGGTGGTAACTTTGTCTGAAAAGGAAAAGCTGAATCTATTAGAAAAAGAATTAGGAGCCGAGAAAAGTATTTTAATGAAGCAATTCCTGGAATGGAATAGTCAGTTTACCCATGATGGAGACGAAAAATGTGAAAATTTGTTAGATTGGACCAAAAAGTTGCATTTGGGAAAACGATGTTATATCAATAAAAAAACAGGTATGTATGTAAACTATGTATTTTATTATTTTATACTTATTTTTATATAATTTATAGATTTTAATTTTAAGGCCCCAGTAGATGTTTGACCAACGTGTACCGAATCAGTTGGCGTAACTTGGGATTAGTGACCAGCGTTGGTCGACAAACTGAATCTATTGTCGTTTTTTCGTGTACTTACATAAAGTCTTTTTACCGTATGACAACCGTTATGCAATTAAGATGATCAGTGGGCATCAAACAGTGGGGCGTTAATATTTAATTCCGATCGCTTGAAAAATAAAAATATTTAGTTTCCTGTATTTTATGTTCAGTAATAATATTGGATTTTACTGTATCAAATACAGGGCGTGTTAAAAGAAGTGGTACGGAATATTTCGAATACTCAAAATTATTTGTCGACATCAAATGTTCATCAACGTCTCTATAAGTCTCTATTTTGCGTAGAGTGAAAATTATACGAATGGTTTTGCACGCAGTTAAATTGGAAAATACTTGCCAAGTTGCTGGTATGTCCAAATTTGAATAAAATACATCCACGACTTTACTTTCTGCAGAGAGTGTAGAGGAAAATGCCTAAAACTGGACCTCCATTTTGTTTTTCAATTCATGCGTATGAAAAATAGCAAAAAATATTATAAAAGTACATACCATTTACTTCATGTTATTATAATTCATTTTTTATACTAAACTTTCATTAATAAGAATTAAAAATTAATATAAAAAATATGTATTTTCCAAAATCTAGCCTTTGGTGAATTCGGAAAATAGTTGCTAAGAGTGAACCCCCTTAAAAATTATTAACAAAGTTGTACCAATAATTGAAAAAAAGTATTAAATAAAAGAAAACATGATCTACTTTTTAAATAGACATATATTGCAACAATTTCGAATATAAAAACATAAAATATACAAAAATATTTAGCAACATTATTAATTTATCTGCAAAAATCGCATATGTAGGCATCCCTATCAGCCCCAGCACAATCCACATGAGCCCACAACGAACACATAATGCACAAGACCCAAAGTTCGCCTTTACAATCTTCCGAATATTTTCTGTCACAAAACATGCACAAAGTATTTGATTCTTGTTTCTTAAAATTTAGACATCTTTTTACTATCTCTTACCCTTTTCTAGAAAGGCCTGCTGTCGAACAACCTTTTATGCCGCGGTTGCCTTTGAAACTTTGATCACGTTCTTGCTGCTCAGTTTTCATGGCTTTTTTAGATTCCATTAACTTGAATTTATAAGGAGAAGCTGTGATGATTGTTGAACTGCAGGCTTTCCGTCCCCTATTGGTGGTCCTTTTTTTGATTTTTGGAATAGGAGTAATTTCAAACGGGCTTATCATAGACGATTTTGGACTATAAGGATTGTCAGATGTAGATGGTAACACAGAATTACCTTGACCTGCCGAAGATGTTGACGGTTGATTCGGGTAAAACTCTGCATTAACTTGTGATTCAATCATCGTCATAACACATGTTTCAATAATCGCTATAGAGCTTTCATTACCTGCCGTTTTTTGCTTTGACATGGATTCGTAGAAAGATGAATCTCGCATTTTGTTTGCTTCTTCAATATATTCGGCATCAGAAAAGAGCTCCTTGTTGAGTGGGTATATTCCTGTGGCTTTAAATCCATTGATTGCAATTTCAGCTGTTTGACATTTAATGTATGCTTTCCAAAGAGCTCCATTACATCATAAGCTGTAAGTGGCCTTTCATTGTTTCTTAACCACTGCCTTATTTCCTCACTGTAGTAAGTTTTGAGACAACCCATGAAACTTTTGCCCAAAGGTTGAAGTTTGTGTGAGGAATGATGTGGTATGGACACAATGGTAACATGGTGTGTTCTTGCCAAATCGATCACTTCAATATTTTGAGTGTGGCTATAATGGTCATCTAAGAGTAAAAGCACAGGTTTTCTCCTTTGTAGGATGGACAAAGTCGATAAAGTGCTTAAACCATTTAGTGAAGGAGCTGATTTGAATTCAACCTGAAGGATGCACTGCAAAATTGTTCCTGATGGGCTCCTTTTTTCAATTGTTCACTAATACTTTTTCTCGGAAAAATCACTAAAGGAGGCACGAATGAGCCAGTGGCATTCATACAAGCAACAATCGTTATAAGGGCTCCACGTTCTCCTGATGTCAGGGCAGCAATCTGCCGTTTACCTTTAAGGCCTATAACTTTGGGTATTTTAGACTGCACCACACTAATTCCGCGCTCGTCTACGTTATATATTCTATCAGGAGTAAATTCATTTTTAACGTACAAATCCTCCAGGAGTTGATAAAATTTCTGCGCATTTTCTTTATTGAACCCAAGAGCCCTGCTGTAAGATGTTCCAGTGGGCTTTCTTTCTGACAGTTTTGTTTTGTGCCGTTTAAGAAATAGATTGGCCCACTTTTTACCAGCTATTTCTTCTTTGAATGGATGATTAATGCCATTTCTCTGGGCCATTTGCGCGGCCATTCTTCTTAAATCACTTCTAGTCAGTCCAAAAAACGATGCTTCCATTGCAAAACAATATTGGACTAGCTCGTCTTCCAGATTTTTGCCTAATATCGTAAGTCTGCCTCTTTGTTAGTGCTGCTTCGATAGGCGTACCATACTTATCTTTGCTTAATCTCATCAGCGTTGTCTTCGGCACATTAAAATATTTACTCGCCTTCTTCCACCCCATCTTCTTATTTCGAACTGCATCAATGGCCTTAGTCATTTTAGACGGACTCCACTTTCTCTGTTCGATCTTCCCCATTTAATTGATTTTTAATCTGTAAAAAAATTGAAAATCATATAAGTGCGAAGTTGCATAACAGCGAAGTTTTAAATTTAAAAAATAAGATGTCCGATTTAGGCAACTACGGGGGGTCCGGTTTAAGCGACTATAGCAGACAGCGCCTCTCTAGTTCCTAGTCCGTCTCTAAAGCGAAATTAAGAGGGTCCGATGTCAACTTCCAATTTTTTATATATTCTCCGATGAATGATTTTTAAGAAGACCTTTAATATATGACACATGAGACTGATGGTGCGATGTTCCGAGCATTGTCTCGCATTAGACTTTTTGAGTATGGCGTTTGATCGTAAACACAATCAATGATTAGAACAGCAAGTGAGCATATCTTGTTGTTATAGTATCATGTGATAAACCTGTGTGTGACATGTGTAAAAGTGTCTTAATTGTAAAACATTGTTTATTGCAGTGCCCCAAGTATGATGTGTAATGCAAAATGTATAACATACCTTTAACATTAAATAGTGCTCTTGGAAAAGACAGTGATCGAAAATATTATCGCCTTTCTCATAGACTGCAATCTGTTATCAAAAATCTAATATTTTATTTTGTATAGATTTAGGTTTATTTCTATTTATGTATTGCTATGTTTAATATTTTATTCTTAAGTTCTAACTCTGTATCACAATCCATATACGCTAATAACCCCGCGTAGTCTACTTTTAGTAATAAATTACTCGCATATAAAAAAAAATAATTTATTTTTTGTAGGTTACGCAACATACGCTACTCCCAAAAACAACAATTTATTCGTTATCAGCGAACGAAATGAATTTCTACCAAAGGGAATGTCTCCTATTATTAAAAATATTAACCCTGTTAATAAATCTTTAAGTCAAAATGGGAAAGATACTTTACTGGAGTATATAATGGACACATATAAAACAGAACTGGAGTATGTTAAGTGGCAGCATTATATGAAGGATATGGGTATGAAACAACCTTTTTTCATATTGTTATAAAGCCTTTGATTTTATATTTTTTTGTTCAAGCATTATCTCTATCACTAATAAAGAATATAAGCGGAACGTCAGCCTTTGTTGACCTTCCCTATTTTGTTTCACCAGTCGTTCCTGTCCATTGCCAACCGTTGCCCATTTATCGGATCTTGTTTATGATGCGTACCTCATTATTGGTCTTATACCGGCCTTATAGATTATTGACTTCATCTAACAGTTAATGTGTCGGTTACACCAATATGTTAATAAGGTATCCTGCTATTTAATTTGCTCTTTGAACTTGATCTTGTTTATGATGCGTACGTCATTATTGGTCTTATACTGGCCTGATAGATTCTTGACTTCATCTAACAGTTAATGTGTCGGTTACACCAATATGTTAATAAGGTATCCTGCTATTTAATTTGCTCTTTGAACTTGATCTATTATTTCTTTTTCAACGTCCTCAAATGTAATCCCTAAGTACTTTATTTCCATTCCTTGCTTGTTCAATGCTAACTCCATCGACTTCCAGTTTTCCAGTTAAATTCTTTTGCTCTTTAAATTAAATTAATTATTTAATTAAATTAAATTAAATCTGTGAATAGTCTTTAAAGACTATCTTTATTTGGGCTATCAATATTGCATCGCCTGCGTAACAGAGAATTTTAATTTCATTCTTCCTCATTCTACATTCTCTACCCTTATTGACATCATGTATTTGTTTATTCATGATTTGATTGAATAGTATAAATCTTAGTGAATCGCCCTGTCTTATTTTATTGCCTGCATCTTTAGATTGTGTAAGTTGTCCATATATTGTTCTGATAGCCGTTTTAAATCGGTTTTATACTAACCAACCCGATCTCTTTATTATAAAAGAGAATATTACATCTTTAAGGCGGCGTTCATACCCCAGCGATAAAAGATAAGCGATATATCGTAAACGATATGCGATACGAACAAACAGATACTTAAAATCTAGAGACGATAAAAAGGTTCACTTCCGCGCGATTGCACAACATATCACATATCGCAAGTGATATACCGTTCGAAGTGCTACGTGTCGTCGTGTCGGTCGCTCTCGCGCATGATACAAAGAATAACTTCTTTGTATCATGGCCCTCGCGATTTATTTCACACGATATTTCAAGCTGTCAGAAAAAAAAAACAGTTCTGTGATAATTTTCATCAATTTAGTTAAAGCTCGTCAGTGCATCTGGAACTATTGCAATAAGACAGATATTACAAGCACTGCATGGAAAGAAATTGCATCAGAAATAAAAGATACAGGTAAATACATTGTTTATTTATTTATTATTTTTATTATTTATTAGGTGAAACAAGCCATTAATCAAATTGTTAACTCATAGGGTAAATATTTATATACATACAGATTTAAAGAATTCATCGTACCTACTAAATAACGGGTCTTGTAAACCGACACATTTCCACTGTGTAGGAATCGCACTAGCTGGTTTTAAAAAGTATTCACCTAGTTTATTTCGTAAGCAGTTTGCTGCATTTAAATTGCTGTTTTCACTAAACGTAGTTATTTGGCAATGGTGGTACTATACAACATTTGTTAAAGGGCTGTGGAACATAATGTTGCCCTTCTCTTCTGCGTATAAAATTATGAAGTACGCATACTACAATAATAGTTTGCACAACATTACCTGTGTTAGTATACCTAAATTGGTCGGTCAATTAGACGAAATTTTGACGTTAGTTTTCCAAAGCTACATTCCACACTTATTCTACCTCTTGGAAGTCGAAAATTTAATATTCTTTTGGCATCATTTAATACTCTTTTTGGAAAGAGCCGCATAATATTATGGAGAGGAAATGCTTCATCTGCAACAAAGTAGAATGGAAAAGTATTCTCATTTGCCTCGCCTGGCAAGGGAGTTGCTTTTAGTATGTTCAATTTGTTATTATGCAATAATTTGCCAATTGTTGATTTGCGAAACACAGCACCATAACTATTTACCGTGTATTAGGGAGACACTGAATGCGGAAATGTTTTCCGTCAAGAGAACCAATGTAGTTAGGTAAATTCCATAACTAATAATAATATTTTGATATTTGCTTCCAAGTTTCCTCCGTTGGTTGAGCCATATACTGTGGTTGTAAGTGGGACTATTGTAGCATTTGTAAATTCCTTGGTATATATTGAAATCCCCTCATATGTATTAAAACACCGAAGAATAATTTCAGTGTATTTCAGTTTCCGATCGTACGTATTGAAAACCGAAGTAGTATTTAATTCTTTTTGTGTCGGCGAGTTGATATAAATTAGTTTATATTTATAATATATATAAAGAGTTTTTTTTATATTTCACAGATGTGTATTTCCTCGGCAATTATTTTCATCGAAGCCGCTTTGGGATTTTTGTGCTTCGAATAAATAGGAATTTAATATATACTTTTGTTTATACTAACTTGGGAAGGGAATGATTTTTAAAAATTACATCACTCACGCAGGAGCCACTGTCAAAGGCAGTTGGTGTCCGTGTTAGTCCGAATTTTCTTCAGATTCGTAAACGTTTTTTTATTGTTTCTTTTGTTATGGAAAATAAGTAGTTTTGTACAGTTAATAGTTACAGTTAAAGTGAGGTTGAAAAGGGTAACGAGTTTGAGCAGACGTATTTGGTTAGTCGGAGAAGAACCGGCAAATTTGTGAAGAAAAAGTGATTATACTCAAAGTAATGTGTCTGTTAAAGTAAGAGTAATCACTGTTTTTTGTTGTATGCCGTATCTGATCTGAGATATTTGTAAAACGGCGTATACAACAAATTTGAAATATAACCACGATGGTTCCAGTTTTGTAAGAAGCCAAGTCGTTTAGTGCCACTTCAACCTCACTTTTGTTTGTCCCTGGTCGCCGTTCCAGACCATAGATGCTGTTCCAGACCATAGATGCCGTTCCAGATCATAGATGCAGTCCTTTTGTTCGTGTGTCAGATTCCAGTTCTTACCCCCAGAAATTTATTAAGTCCAGTTTACAACTCAAGTGCATTTTAGTGAACTCCAGGTAACTTTTTTTGTTTAAACTTTTAAAGTAAAGATAGACATTTTTTTCTCTAATAATAATAATTGCTTCCATAATTTAAAAAGGAAATTGTAATAATTAAAATTATATATCTTAGGGCGTGGCGTAGCTGTCATTTTAATTGTTCTGTTTAAAAATTTTATGTTGACATATGACAGCTAGCTTTATTATTTTTTGACATTAGTTTGTTTTGTTTTTAAAGAAGGTTAACCTCTATGAATAATTTCACTTAAAGATATCTTCTAATTTGTAATGATTTATTTCTGCCACAGTTTATAGTCCAGTAATAATTTTTTGTAAGTTTTGTAACATCTCCCATTTGTAAACAGAGTTTGTAAACGGATAGGACATGTAAGTGTCTCCCTTTTTTATTTTGGTATAAATCCTTTTTTTTGTTTCATTTTTCTAGTTGCCCCAATCCAACCCCTTGCTATTTAACTTATCCATGACCCCAACTCTCCAAATAAACCCTGAGTGCCGTTGGCATTCACAGCTGGCGAAGTTAGCGAGTCAAAGTTTCTTTTATTTTGCTTGCCCTATCTCTAACCCCAATAATTTCTGTCCCCAATTTTCAACCCCCATACTAATACCCTATGTGGTAGGCAAAATAATTCGTTACACCATATAGTATCACAAGTCGAATGAACAAGGTAACTGATGGTTGATTTACCTCTCTAAAATTGCATGGAAAGATCTTTGAAAACTGCTTACTGTAGCTAGATACCTGAAAAAAAAACGATAAATTAGTTGAAAGTTTTAAATATTTATGTTATTATAGGTGTTTTTGTTTTAATAAACATCATTTTAACATGCGATTTAATTTAAATTTTGTTTCAGATTCAAAAACTGTCGAGATTCAAAAAATTCAAAGAAAAGTTATTATTTGGCCGAACATTTAGTTTTTCTGCAACCATATTTGAAAGGAGGAGAAACCTCAGGAAATCTTACTCACGTTCAACATACTGCGATAGAGAAGTCCTATACCAATCAAAATGATGGAAATAAGACAATTATTAAAGAGGAAAAACCTGATGAAGCTTCTTCAGAGCAATTAATAGAAAAATCTGTATAAAAACTCAAATCAAACATACAAAAAACGAATGGGAATAAACCAAGTCAACGATGCTGTTATAGAATGGTTAAAAACGAAAAAATCTTTCAATAAAAATGATCAAGATGGTGAACAGCATTTCCTTCTTTCTCTTTTACCTGATCTGAAAAACCTTAGTTTAGGACTTTCAAAATATAAACAATGTCTCTGTTACATAAGTTGTTAGAGGAAGATGAACGAAAGAATGTAGAATCCAGTATTTCAGTTGCTTCTAACCCATCTGTATGGAGTTTGTCATCACATCATGACACCGAACAAACTTAATCTCACATATGTAATATTACAACAACTTCGGAATTCAATAACTATAAAAATACCTAAATCTGTTTCAATAATATAAAAAAATTGAAAATAAAACGTCTACATTTTATTTAAATTGCTGATTATATTTATATCTACTTACCTTATAGTAATCAGTTTTTCATCTGAAGAAATAGCCTTCCTGAAATGTTTATTTTTTTTTTCAAGGGTTCTTGACACTAAGCTTTTCAGAAAATGAAAATTTTCAGGTTCTAGCCACAATTAATAAGAAGAAAGAAATTTGGATCTTAGGTGATCTTAATGCAAGAACCGGAAAGAGCTCCAACAGTGAAATAATAGGAGATATGGAGAAGACATTCTGAACGACAATGGTCAAAGATTAATAGATTTTTGCGAGGCACATTCTTTGAAAATATTAAATGGTTTCTTCCCCCATAAGAATATACATAAATTTACATGGACGCAGCCTACCAGGAATTTAAAATCAATAATTGACTATTTCATTCATCTTAAAGATTCTAAACTAAAAACGAAGGACGTGAAGGTGTTTAGAGGGCCAGAATGTGGAAGTGACCACCATATGATTATTGCAAAAGTAATGGTGACATTTAAGAGAGAACAATCAAGTCACAAAAATGAGGAAGTAACAGACATAGGAACAACCATAGAAAACATAAAATATAACCTGGAAAGCTTTAAACAAGATTCGACAAAGTTCTTATATAAAATTAGAATAGCTCAGAAAATAAAAAATATAGAAACAAAGGACTTAGACCCCGAAAGTCTCTATGAGGTAATTAAAAAATATATTCATGGCGCAATGAAGCACTGGGAAAAATTGAAAATCGGAAAAAGGAAAACCTGAATGGTTGTCAACGGAACTAGAAGAGAAAGTTCTCAAGAAAAAACAAGCATATCACATATGGCTTCAATCCAAAGATCCTCAAGACAGAGAAATATACGCTAAATGGAATAGAGAAGTTAAAAAAGACGTGGATAAGGCGAAAAATATAAACTGGGAGGCTAAGTGTGATGAACTGGACAGATTTATGGGTGGAACAAAAGTGGCGCAAGCTTGGAAAACATTAAAACAGTTTAGGAAAAATAAGAAAAATGAAGACAACATTTCTCTCATAAAGTTAAATGAATGGGAAGAATATTATACGAAACTGCTGAAAGAGGATAGAGTAGAGTACAGATGGGAAAAGATAAGGGAATTAATAGACAACAGAGACGAAAGACAGGAAATCCCTATAATAACATTATCTGAATTGACGGAAACCTTAAAAGAGGTTAAAAACGGAAAAGCCGCAGGGCCTGGAGACATTCCCATAGAGCTGGTTAAATATGGGCCGACTGCACTTTTAGAATTAATAGTAGACCTTTTCAATAAATGTATGTGTGGAGACCAGGAAATTCCTAAAGATTGGAATAAATCTTATATAAGCTCCATATATAAGAGAGGGAATAAAAGAGACTGTTCCAATTATAGAGGTATTAGTGTGACGAGCTCTGTGGGCCGGTTGTACGGCAGAATATTAAAGAAGAGGGTTGAAAGACAGATACAAGATATTGAAGAACAAAGCGGCTTTCGTACCGGGAGATCCTGCCTTGATAATATATTTATCCTACGACAAATAATTGAAAAGCGTGTCGAAAGAAGTAGAGAGACCCATTTGGTATTTATAGATCTTGAGAAAGCATATGATAGTGTCCCGTTAAAGAAAATGTTTGAGGTCCTCAAAAGGTCTGGATTGGATTCGACGTATATCCGAGCGATATATAAATTGTACGAAAATGCAGTTAGTTGTGTAAAAATTGGAACCAGAACCTCAAATGAATTTAAAGTCACTAAAGGCCTAAAGCAAGGATGCTGTTTGTCACCGACACTCTTTAAAATATACGTCCAAGAAGCATTGAGGAATTGGAGAAATAAATGTAGATTTATGGGCATCGAAGTGGGACAAGAAACTCTGTATACATTGTTGTTTGCAGATGATCAGGTGGTGGTTGCAACCGATGAGGAAGATATAAATTATATGAATCGAAAATTATTTGAGGAATATGCCAAATGGGGACTTACTGTAAACATAAGCAAAACAGAATATTTAAAAATTGGACGAAATACCACAGATCTGAGGCTTGAAAACGCAGTCATAAAAGGCTGCAACCAGTATAAATATCTAGGAAGCATCATATCAGCAGATGGCAGAGTTAAGATAGATGTACAAAACCGAATAACCCAAGGGAAAAAATGCATCCGAATACTGAATTCATTACTGTGGTCTAATAAAATAAAGATGCATACCAAACTTCGCGTATACAGAGCAATTGTAGAACCAATTACCACATATAGTGCCGAATGTTGGACGATGACAAAGAATGAACGAGATAAAGTAGACGTTGTGGAAATGGATTATCTTAGAAGGTCATGTCGAGTATCGAGAATGGAAAGAATCAGAAATGAGGAAATACGAAACCGTACAGGAATTAGAGATACTCTTTCAGATAGAATACAAGGAAGGCAATTACAATGGTATGGTCACGTGATGAGAATGGAGGAGGAGCGGTGGCCAAAGAAAGCCTTAATGTATGTTCCGCCAGAAAGAAGGAAAATGGGAAGACCACCAAATTCCTGGAGAAGAGAAATTACAAAAACAATGCAATCTAGAGGCTTAGAAGAGGGAGATTGGAGAGATAGGAAAAGATGGAGGCTGAAATACGGGAAGCGGCAATCGCCGTAGTACCCCCGTTATATGATGATATGATGAAAATTTTCAGGTTTCATTCGATAAAATTCTTTGAATTTTGATTCGTGTTGAGACAGCTCTCTGAAACAACAGCCGAGCTATGCTGCGCGTTGATAATATTGTAAGGATGTACCCCATGGTACAATAAACTCTCATTGTGAATTTTATTGTACCATGGATGTACCCAGTATTTTCTTTTTCTTCTCATTCTACGCCTAAACCAATAAGCCACTACAACGTCTTCCTCACTTGAGTTCATAATTGTAACTGAAGAGAATTGTGCTTCCACCATTGAACTGTCGCGGCGATTTCTCGTCCTCGTTCTCTTTGAACCTTCCTATCGATATATCGTGGCGATAAAATGTCGCTTATCGGATATCGCCCGAGTATGAATGTCGTTTAAGTCTCACTCTATCAAATGATTTCTTTAAGTCGATCAAACAGTACAGGATGTGGCGCGACAAGCTTTGATAAATAGTAATGGCGGATACAGTTATGTATCCGCCATTATCCCGCCAAATCTTAAATTATAAATCTGTAGGGTTTAGATGACGCTGAGTTGCAATATAACGCTGTACTGAGTGTGGCACTTCCAGTTATACCGGAAGTAGACGTCAATTTTGTTATTTTAAATAGAACCTAATATTTTTTATATTATTTTTAAATTCTACATGAAATTTTCGATAAAATTTGTAATTTACCAAACTGGTATCGAAATGTCAAAATAAACGTATTTTAAACTAAAATTGAGGTTGGATTCCGATAAAAATAGTAAGTTAAATTATATTTATCTTTTTTTGGTGTATCTAGGGTATCTTTAAATGATTTAAATGATGTTGAAAACCTGTTTTCTAGATCCTAAAACGTTTTTCAAAAATATTTACAAAGCCAAATTGATCATGTACGAAAACTCTGTGCCAAATATCAATATAGCCAATCAAAAAAACAGAAAGCACGAAACCGAGGGCATAAAATTAAATAAGGATATATTCAATCATCTAGAAATAATAGGCCAAATGGACAAAAAGTTTATAATTGCAAAAGAAATAAATGGGAATAATCTTTTTGTTTTCGACCAGCACGCTGTGCATGAAAGAATACGACTAGAACATTTGTCTAAAAGTAAGTGTAACTTCTTACTTTTTTATGTAATAGTGAGTTTTTTAAATATAACTTATTACCAATCACTTAGTTTTTAACAATCATACACCGTTTCACCCCTTTTTGGCCGATTTAATATTGAAAACCACTAAAGTAAGATGAATGGTCAATCAAAATTAGTCCAATAATTTATAATCTCACATTAATCTTAATTTCCTAAATTTGTATAGTTTTAACCGTGTATAATTGTGAAACATATCGAATAGTAGCTTAATTACAGTTTGTTCAACTTCCTGCAAACTATAGATTAAGGTCTAATATTTATTGAGAAAATGACTGCAATCATTTTCTCGATTCAAAATATATTTGCCAGCTTTCCAAAGTCAAAGTTTCTCAATATTTCTAAAGTTCTAAAAGGTTTTTGTTCTATGCACTCATTTGGTGAATTGTAGCATATCAGTGAGATTATAAATACAGGGTGAGTCATGAGGAACTTTACATACTTCTACCATATGTAGAGTCCCTCAGGGAGCATATCATTTGGCCACTAAAAAATGTCAACTCCTCTTCTTTATTAATTAACAGGATGATTTGTGTAATTGACCATTTATTTCATTTTACTGAGTGTTTATACAGCTCATTTGATTTTTTTAATTTTTGCATGATACAGTACACTACTATCAAGCATTCGACTGGTATTAGCTAAACTAAAAAATTCCAGGACTGGCTTTAGAAAAATTAATTTAGGGATTCATATTAAATATTACACCCTGTATATATTTTTTTTAAAAATACAATAAGTGATTTTCAAACTACATAAATAGCCAATGAAAACGACATATGCGACAATGTTGTCGCACTTTTTATTAAATTTTTAGTGAACGATCAAATCTTACCAAAAATAGAACATCCATAATGAAGTATCAAATTATAAGCTAATTAATTTAATTTAAACAAATGTTATACATTTCAAACATTTTAATTGAAATGATAAACCTAGCAGTCACAACAGAAAACAGTAACTACTAACAATAACGAAGAATAATTTAAAAAAAAACTAAAAATATGTACATAGTTATAATAAACCCATAAATTAGAACTGAAAAGATACAATAATGGTAACAAAATAAAAATAATTCAAAATAGATTTTCGAAATGGAACCCTGCATCCTGTACACATTTCTGTTGCCGAATTGTTAATTGACGTATTGAATTACGGATACTCTGGGGATCGTTTCTAATAGTATTACAACAATGTATAATTCTATCAATTAATTGTTGTCGGTTATTAAATTCACTGCGTAAACTAGTTGCTTCAATCGTCCCCAAATATGGTAATCAACGGATTGAAATCAGGGGATCTTGAAGGCCACGAAATAGGACCTGCACGTCCTATCCACCTGATGCCATAAACATTATTGAGATGTTGTCTCACTGCCAGTAAAAAGTGTGGGGTGCCCCATCATGCTGAAAATACATCCCTCGGATAGCAACGTTCGCGTTGGCAAGCAAATTCGGCAAAATATTTTGTAGAAAGTTCAAATAGACCTACCCTGTTACAGGACCATCAAAAAAGTAAGGATCTACTAATTGGTTATTTATGACACCAATCCACACGTTAACCGAAAACCTTAACTGAGAACGACGTTCTCGAATAGCATGGGGGTTTTTTCCTACGGACCACACATGTGAATTTCGTGAATTATTTATCCCGTCTCTGGTAAATTGGGCTTCATCTGTAAATAGTGTCCTGTATAGCGTTGGTCGATTATTGTTAATCCATCTACAAAATTCCAACCTATCGATCTCATCTCCAGCATGTAGTCGCTGAACCATTTGGATGTGATATGGGTATAGATTGTTTTTTTTGTAAGACTCTACTTACTTTTGATTGAGTAACATTGAGTTCTCGACTTACTTGTCTAGTGCTTATTGTAGGGTTCATAGTAACGGCGTCCATAATGTCATCTTCCTGCGCTTCATCTACATGCGAGAAAGTGCCATTTTCTCGCAAATAATTAAAAACTGACCCAAATGTTGGATGACTGGGAGTTCGACGATTGGGAAATCTCCTGCGATATTTTCTACTAGCAGCCCTACCATTCCCATTACAGAATCCATAAACAAATATTATGTCTGCATATTCTGTGGTCGAAAACTGATGTGGCATTTTGAACGAAAGTAACAAAAGCTCTACCAAAACTAACACAATGTACTTAACGTAGATATGACAAAAGAAATATGTATTCTTGTACACATAAATAACAATTGATAATGACAATAATGACAATGGGTATAAAATATCAAGAAACGTCAAACGGTCAACGCCAACCTTCATTTTAAATTTTTTTAGATTTAATTTTTATTTAGTACAGTTGATGCAATGTATTATTATTTGACATAAAATTTTAATCATTTACAATCAACAAAAACTAACACATACAAGAGGTTTGTTCGTAGAGATAATACAAAGTGACAGTAAAGATGTTAATTTTCTACGTATTAGATTATGTTGTAAGAACTCATTTTAATTAAAATGTTTGAAATTTATAACATTTGTTTTAATTAATACCTTATAATTTGATACTTCATTATGGTTGGATAATTTTGGTAAGATTTGATCGTTCACTAAATATTTAATAAAAGTGCGACAACATTGTCGCATATGTCGTTTTCCTTGGCTATTTATGTAGTTTGAAAGTCACTTATTGCATTTAAAAAAAAATATATAGGTACAGGGTGTAATATTTAATATGAATCCCTAAATTAGTATTTCCAAAGCCAGTCCTGAAATTTTTTAGTTTAGCTAATACCAGTCGAATGCTTGATAGTAGTGTACTGTATCATGCAAAAATTAAAAAAATCAAATGAGCTGTATAAACACTACAGTAAAATGAATAAATGGTCAATTACACAAATCACCCTGTTAATTAATAAAGAAGAGGAGTTGACATTTTTTAGTGGCCACATGATATGCTCCCTGAGGACTCTACATATGCTAGAGCTAGAAGTATGTTAAGTTTCCTCATGACTCACCCTGTATAGCTTCGGGACTAGTTTGGGACACAGTCTATTATAAATTTTTACCTCAACAACAACTATAGTGTAATAAATAATTCTGTAAAGGAAACTGGGTAACAGTGAGACATGGGTAACAGTGAGCCACTTGAAATATCTTCCCTCCTTTTCGCAAAGCGTAGATATCATTATTGGTGCGTGCTTACTATATTCAAGGTTACTGATTTCTAATATGTTCCGTGTTCCGTGCAGTTTCAGTTTAGCATTTATCGTGGTAGAGTGTGTTTGGTGGGCACTAAGTAGAATAATATAGGTACTTTTGAGAATTTTTTATAAAAGCATGTAATTATTAGGATTTTTTAGTAGGTAATGTATTACTATGACATTGTGTGTAGATTAGTATACATGATACCATAGCTTAGCGATGCAAACTAAGTTTTATATTAATAAAAATAAAATTTTTTCAATTTTATGGCAAATGGGTAACAATAAGACGGGGTACATTAAAACATATCTCACTGTTACCCCATATGTTATAAAAAAATTACATTTTGTATTTTTTTCTAAAGCTTCTAGTATACCTAAAAGAAACTTATCAGAATGCCCAGAAATCCACCGAGGAAGACAAATCATGAAACCTTCTCGGAAGAAACCATTCGAAAAGCAGTTAAAGCTGTACTAACTGGTCTCAGCATTAAATATATAGCAAGACAGGAACAAATAAGTTTCCAAACCCTAGCTAGGTAAATTAATTGTGCTTAATAACGCTCTACAAATAGTAGCAATATTATTTTTTTTTCAGATATGTGCAAAAAAGAAAGTCCAGTGAAGACGGATTTATTAGATATACCGCTAACTACGCAAGTAAATAAGATATTTAGTAGCGATCAAGAAAAAATCCTGGCTGATTACATTATTAAATGTTCGCAGATGTTTTATGGATTACCTCTTAGTGATTTCAGAAAACTGATCTACGAATTTGCATTCACAAACAATTTGAAGAGACTTGTGCAATGGTCCCTTGATTAATAAAATGGCAGGAGAGGAATGGATGCAAAATTTTATAAGAAGAAACCCAAATATTACTTTGAGAACTCCCGAAGGATGTAGTTCTTCTGAATATGTTCTTCGATAATATATTCAATGCGATTAAACGCAATGAAAGATTTAGCGACGGAACACCTATTTATAACCTTGACGAAACGGCTATAGTGACTGTACAAAAATCGTCGAAAGTTTTAGCTGAAAAAGGAGTAAAACAAGTCGATTAAGTGACGAGTGGAGAAAAAGGCGTGCTTGTAACCATATGTGCAATTGTAAGTGCTGCAGGAAATCATTTACCACCTGCGATGGTTTTTTCATGCATTCATTTTAAGGAGCACATGATTGCTGGTGCTTCACTTGGTACGAAGTTGCAGGTTCTGTGGGCGAAGGCAATGACTCCAGGAAATATTACCTCACCCTTTAAAAAATGTGGAATATATAAAACTATATTTTATTTCATCATCGTCGATCGAGAAGAAGCGGATATAGGGAACTAGGAATAATTCGAACTTATAATTACATTAGAATTTGTCCAATGAAACTGTCAATCAAATTACCAATGGCGGAGAGAAATATATTTTCTCAATAATAAATACGTTCACATAATAGATATTTATATGTCAAAAATGCAAGTCATGAAATAAAAAAAATAATCCAGATAAAAACAGTCATGCTACATCACCATCATTCACTCGTCTTTATGAATTCTTCTTATGTTAATTGCGATTGCTTCGTGAGCATTGGTTATAGTTATTTTTATTTTCTCACAGGTTTCCTCTATTCAATTTACTTGTAATATTTCTAAAGTTCTCTCTCGTTGATGAGCTTACTGTATGTAGGAGAAATACGTACAAAACGACATACACATACAAAATGACATATTATCATAGTTATTAATAATGTAGTGGCATTGAATGCACAGCTGACGATTGCAGCAAAGAGAAAACGGCACGTCAGTA